CTCCCTCCTGATCTCCAAATCATATCCACCATCCATCCCTTGGGCATGGTGTCACTAGGCTGGCTTCAAAATATTAATGTTTATAGGTATAACTGTGTAATGATACTATATAGACTTCTAAGATGATCATAGACTATGGACCCTTGCCCACAAAGAAATATGCAGGATCTGGGCAAAGAACACTAAAGGTCTGGTTCCCCTAGTTCCCTAGGGAGCATGATGACTGACCCTAGGTAAAAAAGCAGTAATCCCTGACTTGAGTCAGATTAGGCATGCAGCATCATGATTGTGGGATGTGAATGAAAAAGGACTTAACAGAATAGACTAGTTGACATGTCAAATCAGTATTTAATAAGTTTGTAAAAAAGATTTAGAATATCAGTTGTTTATCACTATTGGTCTGTGAGCTCATTTCACTATACATGCCTTTTGTATCCTTATTTTACCAAGAGTAAGTGTCAGAGTAATACATCTAGATGTTTCCTCCCCATTTGATGTGCCTGGTTCATGGACATGGTTTTATCAGAGCCAGACTGGGTTCTTTTGCTTTTATTTGTCTGCCATGTACTTACAGGATGCTCTCTGGAAGCAGTTACAATAATTTTGACATCATTTTTGTTCAAGAGAAACCATGAAATTAAAATATCATCCCTGACTATGTGTATTAGGAGAAATATGATTATAGTTGTATTTTAAGAGAACTAATATCTTCTTAATATCATTGTAAAGAAAGCAGCAAATAATCCCCATAGGTTTTGAAAAGCAAACAAAATACCGGTTCATTTTGCAGATTTATCATGCAGAAGAGTCTCCATCATTTTCCTGAACTCAACTTCCAGATGCCTTTGAATTCTACATCTTCCATTTCACACACTTTTTGATTAGTGGAGGCTCACAGCGCTGGTCATTGTCTTGGACTACTGCAGGTGATGCACTTTATCCCAGTTTACTGGAGGATTATTTGCAAACATTCTTGCCTTGTGATAGCTCCATTCCCCCGGGTCCACCTAGTCCTCCTGTGTCCCCAAGAGGTGTTTTGTCACCAGTCTCTCCTCGGTATGTTATATTTGTAGATATGTATTTTATGATTTGATTACAAATTTAATTTGGCCTGTAGATCTTTAACTTTTGTTGTATTAAGAATTAACCATTAACTTAATTTTTTTGTAGGAGTAGTGGGCCTGGAAATGCCAATCTGTACCTGACAACTTTAGTATCACCAATTGCCTGCCGAACTGTTCGCACGCCAGGACCCCATGGATATCCTGGCCTTGAGGGGAGTGGTGCACACGCATCATCTCCACTGCATGCATCACATAATCCACATCCTCAGTTAAATATTTGGACAAGTCAAGTAAGTTTGCTTTGCTTAACCCATTGGATCCAGATGCTTCACTGCCATCATGTGGCTCACAATATGAGCATTAGCCATACTTGATTGGCCTTTCTGATGTCTGTGCGGTTTGTAGGCCAGATGTACACGAACACTTGTATGCAGTGAGAAGACTCCATGACTCCCCATTGTAATGTAATTTTCTCTTTTCCTGCATAAACATTTTTTAATTTGCAATGTAAGTTTGTTGGTTGATTTGTTTCAAAATGGTGATAGACTGTTTTCCTTGCACAGACTCCATATCTCTAGATAGTTCATAACAGTAAGTTATTATTATTATTTTTTTTTCCATAATATTAACTTTTCTGTAATACAACCTGTGCTGGAGGTTACAGTGGCCAGGAAGAGGATCCTGAGCATGGAAATAGCATCCTTCTCAGAGCTGGTCTCTTCTAGTCATGGCTCACAGACAGTACATTCCACATTCATTTATTGATGGAAATAATGCAAAAGCCCCTTCCTAAATGCCAAATAAGTCTAATCACCATTCAAGAGCTTTGTGCACTTGTGGCAAGTCATTCCTGCCACCCCAGCCTTCAGCTGAAATGCTCATGATCAGAAGTTCATGTCACCCTAGCCCGCAACCAAAGTTTCCCGTGATGGCATGTTTACATCTCAAGCTGAGTTTTTTCATGGCATGATGGTCATGTTATCTGGTTCGTAGGGGTTGATTATGCTTTTTCACTTTAAAAATGGGAAATATTGACACCAAATTGAAAAGTAATGAATTTTATATCAGTTGGGATGTTATCTAAAGTCCTGACTTCCTTGTTCTAGGTTTTAGTGCAAGTCCTTTTTGAAATGTGGGTGAATCAGTGCCTTCCACCATCAAAGTCTCCAGGACGTTCGCCACCTTCCTCTTCTTCAGCTCCTCATAACAATCAAGTAAGATATGTTTATAGAAAGAGGCTGACTGTATTAAGAAGCGTTGAATGTTGTTTGTAAATTTTGGTGTTTTGAAAATGATTGAGTATTCTTACCAGAGAAATTGTTAGAATCTATTTGGTGATATAATAGCACCATGCAAAAAAAGGGGGAAAATATGTTGATATTGCTTTCTTTACTATATAGCAGCTATAGTGTTATTTTGAATTACGGGCCTTAAAG